TACAACCTTCCAAGACTGACCAAGGAAGAAACAGAAAATCTAAACAGACCAATCACCAGCAAAGAAACTGAACTGGTAATCAAAAAACTACCCAAGAGCAAAACTCCCGGGCCAGATGGATTTACCGCAGAACTTAATCAGACATACAGAGAAGACATAATACCCATTCTCCTTAAAGTTTTCCAAAAAACAGAAGAAGAGGGAATACTTCCAGACTCATTCTATGAAGCCAGCATCACCCTAATACCGAAACCAGGCAAAGACCCCGGCAAAGATATTGGTCTGTAATATCCAGGCAAAGATATTGGTCTGTAATATCCCTGATGAACATAGATGCAAAAATACTCGACAAAACATTGGGAAACCGCTTTCAAAAATACATCAAGAAGATCATACACCATGATCAAGTGGGATTCATCTCAGAGATGCAAGGATGGAACAACATTCGAATATCCAACAACATCATCCACCACATCAAAAAAAAGAAGGACAAAAATCACATGATCATCTCCATAGATGCTGAAAAAGCATTTGACAAAATTCAACATCCATTCATGATAAAAACTCTCAGCAAAATGGGTAGAGAGGGCAAGTACCTCAACATAATAGACGCCATATATGAAAAACCCACAGCCAACATCTTACTGAACAGTGAGAGGCTGAAACTTTTCCTCTGAGATCGGGAACAAGACAGGGATCCCCACTCTCCCAACTGTTATTCAATATAGTACAGGAGGTCCTAGCCACGGCAATGAGACAAAACAAAGAAACACAAGGAATCCAGATTGGTAAAGAAAAAGTCAAATTGTCACTATTTGCAGATGATATGATATTGTACATAAAATACTCTAAAGACTCCACTCCAAAACTCCTAGAACTGATATTGGAATACAGCAAAGTTTCAGGATACAAAATTAATACACAAAAATCTGAGGCTTTCCTATACACTAACAATGAACTAATAGAAAGAAAAACCAGGAAAACAATTCCATTCACAATTGCATCAAAAAAAATAAGATACCTAAGAATAAACCTAACCAAGGAAGTGAAAGACCTATACCCCGAAAACTACAAGACATTCTTAAGAGAAATTATAGAGGACACTAACAAATGGAAATTCATCCCATGCTCTTGGCTAGGAAGAATTAATATTGTCAAAATGGCCATCCTGCCCAAAACAATATACAGATTTAATGCAATCCTTATCAAATTACCAACAGCATTCTTCAATGAACTGGAACAAATAGTTCAAAAATTCATATGGAACCACCAAAGACCCCGAATAGCCAAAGCAATCCTGAGAAGGAAGAATAAAGTGGGGAGGATCTCACTCCCCAACTTCAAGCTCTACTACAAAGCCACAGTAATCAAGACAATTGGTACTGGCACAAGAATAGAGCTACAGACCAGTGGAACAGAATAGAGACTCCAGACATTAACCCAAACAGATATGGCCAATTAATGTACAATAAAGGAGCCATGGACATACAATGGGGAAATGACAGTCTCTTCAACAGATGGTGCTGCAAAACTGGACAGCGACATGTAAGAGAATGAAACTGGATCACTGTCTAACCCCATACACAAAAGTAAATTTGAAATGGATCAAAGACCTGAATGTAAGTCATGAAACCATAAAACTCTTAGAGAAAACATAGGCAAAAGTCTCATGGACATAAACATGAGTGACTTCTTCATGAACATATCTCCCTGGGCAAGGAAAACCAAAGCCAAAATGAACAGGTGGGACTATATCAAGTTGAAAAGCAAAGGACACCATCAATAGAACAAAAAGGTACCCTACAGTATGGGAGAATATATTCATAAATGATAGATCCGATAAAGGATTGACATCCAAAATATATAAAGAGCTCACTCACC